CGACAAATGTACTGACATCAACACACGCGCACTACAATGGTTCCATCGATAAATAACATATAGTATCACTTTGTACAAACCAAATCAAATATTGTTTATAAATAATAAATTCGCCCACATAAAATTGCTAGGAAACAACTAACACAACCGAACCAAACGATAGTTAGCTATACAAAACTGACAAATTTTTCAGCACAGGTGAACAAATAACATGTTAGTTATTTAAAGTAAGGTCAGGTAAAATGGCAAAGAATAAACTGCGACGTTTCAGCGATTAATGTATGTTAAAAGGCGCTATTAAATACACCCAGAGTGACAAATCGTTATATTTTGGACGGGTTTGTCTAATTCTCTGTGACTATTTAGTTCATCGCATAGTAGGCAATAAGACTGAAATTCTCCCAACAACTGCAGTGACTGAAATTTAGTGTATTCAGTCATCAAATACTATAGTATACTCAAATTATAAAATAATTTTTTACTTATACAAAAAAAATATGATCAATAATTATAATATCAACTAAGAATTATCAACATTGAAATCATAAATATTTTTACAAATCTCTAAAAACGTCTAGCAAGCAAAGTTCAGACTCTAGTAATGGATTGTAAGACTACCGCAGAATTCTGCTAGTTAGATTTCCAAATCCAAATCTTTATTCATAACAAAAATGTCATAAAGAAGAAATTCACGAAAAAGGAGGCCTAAAAAACTTGTGCTTATTTATGAGAAAGACCATATCGAAAGGGTAGACCATTGAATTGACGACTTAAACAAAAATACATCAGCACATTGGACTAGATTATTTAATTTAAGAAAGTATAAAATAATTGTCCTCGAAGGACGTATCCTATATAGATAAAGTATATTATTATAAGAAAACTAAATTTTTCCTAAATTAATAAAATCAATAAACCGGCATAAATCAATAACTTTAACGAATCCGCCGCCGCCGGACTCCGCCCGCCGCGGATCTGAAGGACGCTTCAATGACCAAGATTTAACAAACTAAGAAATATATAATAAAAGCCCTTTACCATGAAAATGTATTAAAATTTAGAAGACGCTCGATAAAGTATTACCAATAATACCTAAATCAAAGAAATAACCAGAATGTGATCCATTAGATGAACAAACAGACGAGAACTGAGCGTTTTACTCAAAACAACGGAAATTGACGATTGAGATGGTGGCACTAACATCGAGGACGGTGTCTTTAATCAGTGGAGACCATTGAATTTTAACAGTCTGAACCCATTGAAGTTTTAAAATGACGGCATTACTACAACATACGAAACCTGAAATTGTTTTCATGATAAAAATGGACGATAATTATACACGAATAAACTTTAATAGTTTAATTTTTTTTGTTCAGCCACAAAATAATCCTACCTAAAAATAAAAAAAAACTTACGAATGAAGATAGTAAAACATTTATTTCTATGATTCCGATACTTGTTTGAGGACTACAACATTAAGAGGTCATTACAGAGGTAAAACATTTAGCTCTTTTACATCGGTTTTTTTTTGTTAAAAATTTGATACAGCCTTTGCATCATACTTTGATATAATGTAAGTCATAAAACACACGAATTACTGAAATGGTATCTTCCGATTGCGTTCTGGCCTTGGATCTTGTGGCTAGGTTCTACATACCCAAACTTTTAATATCTATGACTTCAATACCATAATTTTTCTCATTTTGTTATTTTAAAGTTAAGTATTATTTTAAAGTATAATTTTTAAATTATAATTTTAAAGTAACTTGTTTGTCTCAATGTTGACAAAAATGTTTTAAAAAAACCGTGTAAAATATTTTTACGTGTATTTACGATTATTTAAGTTATATTTTTTGTTGTTACCGTGCTATTTTGAACAAATATAAATTAAACAGAATTCGAACACAAACTTCTTCAGCTAAGACCATATTTTCTACAATATCAATGACTTACTTCAAATAGAAGCAGTTATTATAAATATCTTACCAAACGCTTATTAGCAAATCTTACATTTCAATCCAATATGATAACCGATCTACATGAAATTGTGTATTTTCGATGTATACATCTATGTAACGTAATAGGAGTGTTTGTTGACCTCGAAATTCATTCGACCCATGATAATAAAGTCTTCACATGAGCGACCCTCGCTTTCACGAGAGCCGAGAGCGCGTATTGTTCGTTAAGGGAATATCCGAAGTCGGATATCAAGTTTCAGGGTCATTATAATCAATTCGGATACTCCGGTGAACGTTTCAAGGTAAGACGCTTAGAGATCCAGTGTTGCTTTGAAAAAAATATTGGAATTGTCTTATAATATTAGTAGCATTTTTCCAGTCTTATTTAGCCAACTCAGTGTTTATTTTTTTCCAAATTCGGTGTATATTATACGCTGTTTATACTAGAACATAAGTAATTGGATACTTGGATACTTCCATTCTTCTATGACGTTACTGACAGCAAAATCAATATTACGCTACGTGTCATTTATTAGTAATATTAAGATACCCACTAGATACATGACAACTAATGATGAAATTATGAAACCTTGGCTCTTAACCGTTTTGACTGCCGACCCAAAATAAATATATATGAAAGCCTCTAAGCCTGACTAATTTATTTATAAATGAGGGATAACAAAAAGTCTATGATTTGCTTACGGCGTCTTAAAAATTTTCGTGCCAATTCCAATGCGACCATTTGTGCGACCCATTTTTGAAACGGGATCAGATGTCAAGTAATATTGTTATAAAACACGGTTTCATTTATTTATTTAATGTATAATAAATATTAAATTCTGCAAGAAATTGGCGCTGGTTTCCAGATGAGTTACAGTTTAAAATACTGAATATTACTTTATACTTCCGATAATCTACATTTTGTTAATCACAATTCTAAATATTTTCATTTCATATCATTAGAAACTCAGGAAGTCAGCAGCATTAACTTACATTTACATTTAAGTCTAAAGCAAAGGCCATTATGTATAAGTCTTACGATGGACAAACAGTAACTTATCCTTGACAAAATAAGATTAGAGTTGTATTAGTTTAGGCTCTGGGTCGTATATGCCCTGAATATATTGTCAGCTATATTAAGGTTACAAACTGAAAAATATACCAAGAGCGATCTGGACATGCACGAAGAGGGTTCCCCAGAAATATTACACCGGAGTTCAGGGGTAATGGTAAATTTTCTTCAATAACTTCAGAACTATTATTACAAAATAAATAAAAAAATATATATTTGGAGTATAGTTAAATAATATAGTAAATTTTCCAATTTAACCTCCAAAAGCTAACATTATTCACATAAGAATAATAAGCTGAAGGTATCGGCACAAAATATAATTATCACCCAGATCTTCACTAAAATAAATCTAAATTATTAAATGAAAAGTACTATAAAAGTACGGCGGAGTGTGCCGCCCCATGTGTTCTGCTATTAAAATGTCATTGTCATTATAAACGCGTCATCACGTGTCATCACCGTTTAGAGTTAAATGGAAACCAACCCGCATGACGTCAACGTTGCAAGGTAGGTCCTTGACCCGTATTCTTCGACTCATGATCGGTGGTCCTATAACAATTGAATCAACAACAAATTTATCAACCTTGAAAACGAGGTTTGTCCTTAAACATTGTTGTTATACAACGACAAATTTATTCTTTTTAAAACTAATAATTTTGAACATCCTTGTCAGGGTGAGTATAATCTATTAAATTAAAATAACTTTTGTACCGTTAAGTTTATTAATTTAGCAGCACGGCTTAATGCGATAAACTATGTCACAAAATTTATGAAATAGAGAGAATGTTGCTGGATAAAACTTAATTCGAATAGATCTTTATAATGAAAATTTAATAATAAATTAATTTCGCATAGATACGAAACAGATTTTCTAACAGTAACAATAGATTTATTGAGAAGCAGCACAATAATCATAGTCAGTAAAAATAAACTCGCCTAGTTGGCGCCCGCTGGTCTAACAGCTTTATCTTTTCACGTTTTTCGATTTAGTTTTATTGTTTCACCCCACTTCTTTTCGAAGTAAACAATAACGAAGTACGAAAACGGGGTATAAACACGCCCTATATTCGTGTACCTCCTGTCTGAAATTAGTATAAAAAATACGGCACAATTTAACACAAATACGAAGATGAGTCGTAAAAAGGAAAATAAAAATCAATTGATATATAGTGGGCAAATGGGTTTTCATTTCATCCCTTGCTTTGCGGGCAGGGACCAATCTTTACGCACGTCTATGGTTACCTTGACATTCATAATATTTTATTTATATGCGTGTTACGTACGCCTAGCATTATGGGTTCTGACATCACATTCTATAATACACGATAATCTGATCATGAGTAACGTATCTTTGCGTCCGTCCCTCAACTCCAACAATATTAACTGAAACTGGGTATACTTATATATTTTTTTATTTACTTTAAACCATTACTATAGGAAAATTAAAAATTAACATTTGTTACTATAGGAAAATATTTAGATACAACAGTAAATGTTCAAATACTTAGAATCTTTATATCTGCACTGAAGTATTTTCTTGCTATTTTTTTTTCGCTGAGCTATTATTACGCCAGCATTATCAATAGTGGTATAATTTAAAGAAAATTAAACGATTGTACGTAATAATACTGTTAAAGAGTCAAGAACGCTTCGCCAATGCAATAATGATAAGATTTCAAATTAACCTCAAACTTTCTATTAGAAGGAACATGCATCGCACATTATACTTACGTGAAACTACTTCAAAAGAAGTATAAGTATAATGAAACATTCATTAGGAACACTTATTATATAATTAGAATATATGACCGTTTAACATACTCTGAGTTGTTACGCTGTTTTCCTAAATCGCACACTTTTTCCGGTAGAAATTTTAGCTATATGTGTAGTTAAATCAGTTCAAAGGTAGATCGCTCATTTCATAACAAAGACGATTTATAATTGACAATAGAACACTCGAATTAATCAAATATCAGTATTTGTTTATAAACTATAGACAACGTTACGACTTTTCAATCATTACAGTTAAGGAAGTAGCTGTATACAGTCATGAAATCTATCCTGATATTTATGATACTCGCTATAAAACTCATGTGTGTGGAAAATGTAATGCTTTCAATTTAAGCAAGTAATTTTTTTAGTTAAAAAAATGTATATATAATATTACTGTTTAAATATGTTTCAGCGAATGTTGTCTGTAAACTATGCGACATATCCACCGTATTCAAACACACAGTCGCCTGAAAATGAAGAGATGTCGAATGAAAAGATCCCGGCTATACAAAACTATGATGATGGTGAAGAATATGAAGTTACCACCAAGATAAATATGAAGGAAACAACCAAAAAGGTAAGGTATCATTTAATGAGTTACATAAAAATCTAGTGCTACACCTGTGTCTACCCACAAACACTATCATAAGTTTCGTCAATACCAAATTAGAGAAAAATATGAATTATCTCTTTAAAAAAAGGTGATAGATTGATAATTCACTTTTAGCCTTTACATGAGAGATTTTCCAGTAATTGTATTGGTTTTAAGGTTTACGAATATTTTCAAATACAAAATTATCCTACTGCTTTTCTTTCAACGCAATACGTCCTAGTCTATTACTATTTTGTCTCAATATACGGTGGATTATTTTCCAGCTTAATATGTTCTATTTACCTATTATAGTTTCTAGAGTCATCTAAGTAGTTTTCGCAGCGGGTAAATGTCCGATGACATGTAAGATGGGGTGAAATTTATGGAATAGAATAGAAAAATGTTTATTTAGCACCTAATTATTCTCCAGTATAAAATAATCAACCTTATAGTATGTAGATAGTGTGCATAACGGGTGAATATTCGCATACCTATCGTTATAATTTTTGAAAAAAAGGAAATCAAGGAATGTCAATAAGTACGTATTCGGACGCTTCTTTACCAATCTGACAAACATTTATTTTGTTGTTTCGGTTTTCCAGGGATTCAAAGAGAAGGTATGCACTCCTGACCTCAAATGACGCTAATACGCCATTTTTTTTTTACTGTCCACAGCCATGCGTGGTTGTCGTCTTATCAAATATGCAAAATCCTAGCATGCATTCGCTCTTGCGCAAGTATCGTTACGACGCTAACGGTTAGTACATTCAAATAAACACTTCAACACGTTATAAGGAAATTATAGACGCCAACATTAACCGGCTACTTGTTTCCATTAGGTCGAGGTAAACATATTAAATTTATTTGTAACCAGAATAACCCGTTTTAAACTATGAACGTAGGTTTATTTCAGCTGACAACAAATAGTTAAATATTGAAATATTTTTGAACAATCTATACTCTAAATACAATTATTTGTCTTTAGTTTGATTTTTCTTTTATTAAAATAAGCGTATTATTGATACTTTCGAAAATTTAACAAGATGTACTTAAAAATAACTAATAATAATTTCGTATTTTTCCCCCTAAAGGTGTACTAATCCCGAGCAGTGTAAAATACTTTATCAAGTTACCTCAAGGGCTGCGGTCATCACCTCTCTTAGTGCCATTGAACGATAAAGCCTTTTCGCCGCAAGGAGGTTTTGTAAGGTTAGTGATATTTTGATGGTATTTCCGTTACGAGAGAAATTTTTGGAATCGAGAAGTTAATTTGTTATTAGTAACAAGTATAAGCTGACTCAAAAATGATCTTACTAATGTTACAACTGTCACCTGCATTATTATCATATCATTAAATCCCTGATTTATCTGTCAAAATGAAGCCATGAATGTTATGTCAGTAGATAGTGACCAATCGGTATTGGTCTGGCCAATTCTAAACCAATACTGATTATTCTACTATTAGTTGATCTGACAAAACAACCAGAGACAGTCACGCGATAAAAACGCTGTTCAAGACAACCTCCTTACTGCATTAAAATGAGCAAGCGTCAGGAAAAACAAGGATAAAATTTAAAACTTTTTTATACTTGTTTTCGTTACTTGAATAAAATCAAGGCCCCTCTGGCTGTTTCCACGAATGCTCGTTTTTTTTTTCGATTTCGTTGGTCATTATATTAAAATGTCATAAATATTATATTTATTCGTTGCAACTACAACATTAACGTTTTAATGGATATCGTCTAAAACTTCAAAACTTCGTTACACGCAGAATTCTTTTATTTCATCACGATTTTTATTTTCGCCCCGCCGTAACAAATTCAATACATTTAGTCCCCTAGCATGAAATATTATAGAGTGCGAATCGAATCGTTTCGAGATCATATTTAATTTTAAAATAGAAAATTTTCCGTTTACACTGAGGAGGTAGGTCGCACCGCTTAAATATCAATACACGAATTTTCGTGCTGTACTACGGTACTGTTTTATCAAGCAAGATCGACTGCGAGAAACGTAGAGATGTGGTTAGGGTTAAGTCACAGTGTGTCAATCTTTTCGTATGAGCTTGTGTCAGGTCAAGAGTATTAACTCATTCCGACATCTTGTATAATAATTGTCTTGAGTACGGCCTTATTTGTTCTAAAAGAGTATGTGTGTTGATGTCTAAAATGTATAAATATATAGAAGAAAAACAGAGATATACTACTATAACTTTTAACAAAATGGTTAATTTATATAGTTCAAGATTTACATAATATATTACCAATAATTAATTTGATGTTTCTTTTTAATTACCAGGTATTACAAAGAAGTTCCTCCTATTCCACATTTATGGTGACATTGTGAGTAAAAAAAACGAAAAAGAACTTAGTCCTGACCATTACCAGCACTCTTTGTATCTCAAACTATGAAAAAATACTATTTGTAATGTTAATTATCATAAATAATAAATTAATTCGAATTATAAATAAAAACAAATACCTACCATTGTTATTAAAAGTCATTCAAAAGGTCAAGGAGGCGCATGACAATGCGCCTCCTTTAATCTTCAGTGTACGTTATTAACTGTCAAAGAATATTATATATTCAAAATATAAACATTACTAACCTATAAGACTTTATTTGATAATGACATATTCCAAGTGCACATAAGGGTACTCGTCTACTGCCTCAGCACGCACGCACTGGCCGCACGACACGTAACACATTGCACAAATTTGTCGATGTCATATTTCCACTGCAGTCGCATTTTTCATGCTTCTACAGATGCTTTTATGAAAAATGCGACTGACAGTTTTGTTTGACGTTAAAATTATTACGTCATAGAACGTACAAACATAAGACTTATAAAAAAATATTTTACTTCTAATATGTAACCACATTTATGGAGATAAATAAATTATTATTATTATTATTAAAGGAATTTTTAATATAATCCGCTGCGTGTCATGCGGCAGATACGTGCGTGCAGACATATGGACGTTCACCTTAAATAATAGTTACATTGATTTTTTTACGTAAACGTGGACTAACTTTAGTACCAGTACTAAAATAAGTTAACAGGTCTCAATTTGATGTTTCCCTTCTTTCATTATAAATTTGGCTCAATTGTTTAAGTCATCGTTGTATAATAAAATAGATTGTTATAGTATGGAGCGATTTAAATACGCATCAATAGATTTCTCATAGAAATTAAATCTTTTTTTGCGGTTAATAGTCTATGTCACTCTTTCAACTACGTATACGCAGAAATCATTCCAGTGGGGACAATCCGTTGCGACGTGAAAGAAAAACAGACAAACAAAAACACTTTTTCCCTTTCTCAAGACAAAAAATCATGCTGTAGGGAGACACCGTCGCGACGTTAATATCAAAGTAATTATGATTTTTATATGAACAGAAAATCATAATAACATGTTCTATGGCACATTAGTATAGAAACACAACTGTAAAAATAATTTATAAAGAGGTAAAGTTTTTAAATTTTATTGGTTGTTTGTATGGAGTAACCATCGGAAATACTGATACATGGAAATTCTTTCACCTACGGAGCTACATCATACGCGGGTGTGTAGGCTATAATTCCGCGAGCAAAGTTGCGGAAAAACTGCTAGTAGTATTTAATAAATAGGATTTCTCCAAACAGATTTAAATAATTAGCCTAATTAGGATAGATGGTATACTACATAGTCTGTTCCTAAGGCAGGCGAAAAAACGGACAACTCTAGGTATTATTGTGAGCGTTGAAAATATACGATACGTATCGCTATCCATAGAACTGTGTATTGTTTCTGCATATGTACTGCGTTTTATTATACGAGATATTATAAGTCGCTGACCCTATTCCGTTTAACAATAGTCCATAAAAGACCTCCCATGAAACATTATATTTTCTACATTAACCCGACCGGTAAATGAACACGGAATATCAGAGACGGCAACGACATCTTGAAATCTGTGTGCGAGCTTATCAACACTAGCGTTAACTGGACCACGGAGGAATGACAGGCATTTTTATAAAACTGCCTTCGTTTACATCAAATGTATGTCATGTTAAGTAGTTAATACTTACGTTTATCATCAAAACATTTTATTTTAACGAGAACGCCATTATATAAACAACATTGATACTTCAAGCCCATTTGTTTTAATTAGCGTATAAATATCGGTAGTATTAAGTACTAATATAATCAAATAGAACAATAATTATTAGTGCTAGTATTAATTCACATGTTTATCGCTGCGAAATAATAACCATATGCAAAACCTTCACGATAAAAACTACCGAACGAATTTAATTAAAAATAATAAATTCCATTCAAACAACCTCAAACTTTGGACGGAAAGTGAATAAATGTTAAATAAGTCAACACAAGAGTTGGCAGAGGTCTTAAAATAACAATAACGTCAAAAAATAATAATGTCATTCTCTCATTTCGTAGCAAATCAATTGCGTGATATCCAAGGATCGTTTTCTTTTTAGTGCAATTTTTCATATTTACAAAAAAGCTATATATAATTTTTCATATTTGCAAAAATTTATTCACTATTCAAAGAAGATATCGTGAAACATGTCGAAAAAAAATAATACATTATCGCTAACAGTATACACCGCCTCCGAAGCATGGTTCAACGAAATTATGTGAAACCCAATCTAACCTTTTTTTAACGATGGAAAATGCGTTACCGCCTACCCCGGATCGCCAGCGCGGTTAACCGAGGTTATGTGGGGCTCCAACCCAATCTAACTTAACCTAACCCATCCTAAAAGGGAGGGTAGTAAACTGCACTAAAAACTAAAACACAAAAACGTCCAATGTCCCAGTCTATGGTAGTTAAACGGGTATGGTAATCGTTATGAAAGTAATTTTTGTAATAAAAAAAGAATTTGAAAACGTTATCTAACGCAAACATAAAGAATTTTCGAATACATGTAACATTCAAGCTAAAGGAACAATAAAAAATAAAAATAGAACTAGCAGTGCCAAGTTTTGGTGATTATCAAACGGTACCTATGAGCTCGTTTCAAATAAAAGTCATACTATCAATGTCAGGTTGAATTAAGCTCTTTTTGATTTTATCCAGAACATAAGATTCAGTAGATTTAAGAAATTTTGTAACATCCAATTTATGGGCTGATTTCACAATTTTGGTCACTTTTAAACAAATTGTTGTTCTAATATTCGTCAACAGAAATAATTACTTGAGAAATGGCATAGCTTAAATAAATATTTTTAAATTATACACGAACATTTGAATAAAGTAAGAGCTGCTAATAGCTAATAATAATAGTATTCTAATTATTATATACCGTTAGATCATATTTAAACAATATCGAATATATGGATAATATATTTCTTTTGCGGAAATATTATCATATCTTTATTAAAAAAGTTCATCGAAAAAGACAAATTCAATGAAAGCTCGTCAAAAAAATCTTAATATTAATATTATTATTTTTCGTCTTAATATTATTTTTTAAGTAAACAACACAAACTTAATCCTCTTTAAATATCTATAGTTAGGCCATTGACAGTTGCGTCTAATTATAGAATGAACTAATGTATCCTAAGGAGAAGTAGCTTTATGGGATGCAGGCCAAAAACAAATTTTGGAAAACTGCCAACTTCCATACAAGCTTTGCCTCTACTCTCTGAACACAATAAAGGATGTGAATTTCGTATGACAATTACACAATGAAACCTACAAAACAAAGGTAAAATTATTAAAATATATATATAAAAGCAAGAGTTAGCGTGAAGCAAAAATTACTTACTTTCAGTTAATTTTCCAAATCAATTGCATGTAAAAGTAAGAAAACTACATCATCAGTTAAGAAAATTCAAAGTATCCTCAAAAATTCACTAATAATAGTTGAGGGTTAGGATTAAGAAATTCAACAAAAATTGTGGCAATATCATCTCCTGTACCAGTATCATCGGCTGGCATGTTGATTTTATTTCTTTTTGCTATTATGCACATTTAATACAACTAATATGTGTGGTAGAATGCTATATGATATTATTGTTAGATAAACTTTGAACGTATTTGGTTCAAAGTTTATCACTTAAACACCTCGGGATCATAGTTTTTTTTTCAGCTGCAGCTGGTGTATGTTTTAACCAAGTAGCGTTAACAAACTCTTGGGTGATTTATTTAAAAAGTTTCATAAGTAATTTATTTACATTACTTATGAAATTTTTTAAATAAATTTCCCCTTAAAAAAAGTTATTTCTAAAAAGTAAGGTAATTACCGATACCAATTTGGGTTAATAGTATTTGTCTTTAGAATACGTTTATGTTAACTACAGATATGTGAGGAAATTGTATATTATACCTTAAATTATACTTCGTATTATACTCAACTACACACAGTAAATGCAACAGTATAACGACTCGTTAGCAAAGATAGATTGCATGTACATCAATAGGTAAAGTAGATAGTTATCCTTAGAGTTACAATATATTGTGTTATGAAACACAACTACAAGTTTTGCTGTAGAAAAATAAGCAATATGTGAAGCTCTGCTGCTCTGTAATCATAAAATCAGAGTCGAACTCAACGTCCAGCACAGCACTTTCACATCTTGCAGGTTCTATCAAATAAAACCTTTATTAAAGGGTTCAGAGTGATAATTATCTTGATAAATCTAAAACACTACACAAACTCTTTTGGTACTTTAGGACTTGCCTAAAGTACCAAATATATAATAATAATATAAATTAATATACGAGTATTAAACGAATCATATTTAAACGACTATCAAAAAAAGTTCCATCCTATCAATTTTTCTGCTAGAGAAAATTTACTAGGATGGACCTAAAATAACAAAAAAAAGAACAAAGACCCTTTTCATTAAAATATATTTTATTTATTTATATTTTCATTTCACTTTTTGTACAATGTGATTTCACAGTTATTTTTTATTTCACTTTGTTTGTATAATTTTATAATTTAAAAGAACAAAAATCAAAGTTTAAACTATTTTGGATGCCCTCTTTATTTTAAAAATTGCTGCCAGTTACTACCGCTAGTTATCAGATATTTATATAATAATTATCTTGATAATTAGGGACCCCGCTTTATTAACCTTTGAAATCGGTTTTATTTTATTAAAAGTGACTGCGTAATGGGATTGTCTTACGAAAATCCAAGCTTGTGAATAACGCTGTAGGTCGAGTGAATAAGTTTACCCAACTATAAACATTAAGTAAATGCAACAGGTTTTTTATACATGTCAAGAAAAATTAACAACATTCTTTGCTCTGAAACAAAACAAGGAAAATTATTCTTTACTCTGCATATACGAGGGTCAAACTGAAAGTTCTTAGAAAATCAAAAACTGATTACATTAGCCAGTTATTAGTTTTATTATATCTTTTCAAAATATTGTCCATTCACGTCAATACACCGCTGCATGCGATGGAACCACTGGGAAAAGCACTTTGCCCACTCGTCCTTAGGGGTCTCTTCAATGGCATCGCGATACGCAGCCACCGCTTCTTCAGCATTCATAAACCGCTTTCCTTTAAGTTTTTCTTTAATTTTTGGAAATAAATAAAAATCACAAGGCGCGAGGTCGGGGCTATACGGCGGGTGACCCAGTAATTCAACGTTTGATGTCGCCAAATAGTCGATCGTTCGCTTGGCGGTGTGCGACGAGGCGTTGTCGTGGTGAAGGAGGATCCAACTGCGAGGTCGTTTCTCTCGAACTTTTTCCAAGACAAGTGGCAAACAATTGGTAGTGTACCATTCTGCAGAAACTGTTTTTTGATCCTCTAACACAATTGTTGCAAAATGACCTATCCTTCCAAAGAACGAGGCCACCATTTTTTTTCCCGCACTTCGATCTCTCTTCACTTTAGTTGGCAACTCCTCGAAAGGAAACACCCACTGAGCAGATTGTCTTTTGGTTTTAGGATCATAACAGTAAATCCAGCTTTCGTCACCTGTTAGTATGTCGAACACAGCATTTGAGTCACCTCCGTTAAATCTTTCAATCATTTTACGACACCAATCCACACGATGGAGTTTTTGAGCCTCAGTCAAATTATGAGGTATCCACCGGGCGCAAAGCTTCCTGACCGCTAAATGTTCGTGGAGGATTTTGTGCACTTGACTCATACCGATGCCTAAGCTTGTCCGAATCTGTTGATAGGTCACTCTTTTGTCAGTCTCTATCATACGCCGCACAACACAGATGTTATCTTCAGTCGTCGCCGTAGAAGGCCGTCCCTCACGTAAATCATCAGTGAGATTAGTGCGACCACGTTTAAACTCATTAAACCAGTTGTAAACAGTCGCACGAGATGGGGCTTCATCGTGAAAGGCCAATCGTAGTCTATCATAACTTTCTTGTTGACTTAAATGACATCGAAAGTCATAAAAAATCATTGCACGAAAATTTTCTCGTGTTAAATTCATGATGACGTGACACAGACAATTTTCAATTTGCCGCCAAATCGTAAAACAAATGACAAATGAATGAAATATATACTCAGTAATATTGGCAAAGAGTTATATTTTCAAATTTTAGAATTATTTTTTTATTATATTGTTTATAAGTGGCCAGTTCTAAGAACTTTCAGTTTGACCCTCGTAGCAGACGTAGCGATTTCCTGATATTATCGTGTTAGGTTGAGTTCATATCGATCGCCTCCCACTGCTTGTAGTGACAAATAAGGAACCTCCGAGCATCGTGTATGACATCAGCTATATTTTCTCAAATATCAGTGTTACGCTCTAATGAATTATCATTGATTTAGCACTTTAACATGCATTTATAACTTTTTTGTTAATGTTACTTTTATAATATTTTCTTATTTATTTACGAGCTTTATTGCATAATAGCATTGTCTACACATCAGTCGGAGAATTATGGACAGATAACTTATAAGGGCATTTATTATAACATTCCATATTAAATAGAATTGTATTGACATCTAGAAGTTACGTGTGCATCTATCTAGATAAACCTATACGTGCTCAGCTCAACTGAAGCAGGAAGTGGATCAAATTTAGCTTGAATTTATTTATTATCCCTGTTACAAGAAAGTACGAGAAACTGATTATGTAAAGCCATAATTTTATTTTAAGATTACATAATGAAACAAAAGAAACGACGTCATTTCTTTAAGACGCATTAAAATTATTATTACACTGTTTTAACATTTAGTTTTATACCTAGTTTAACATATTACCTGCTGTCTTTAGTTTCGTATTAGAAAATCTCGAGAGACAATTACAAAGTTTCATCTCGGTTTCAATAGTAGTTAGTTCTAGTCACAAAGACTATGAACACTGGCGGTACAATATTCACAATGTCACAATGAATAAGTAAAATTAACTATTTTTCCAAGCGAACGGCTTCGCCCGCGTGGTTGTCGGTTATTGTCGCCCTTCATATTTTCATCCCGTTTAAGCCTATTTTTCGCGATAGAAATTAGCTCCTATCCCAAAGCTATATCTCCTACACAAAATTACTCTCACATTCATAATTGTAGTATGGATTAAACAAAAACCAATTTGTGATCATCTTAGAGCAAATTAAATATACGCCTTTGACGGTATATGGATACCGTCAAAGGCGTATATTTAATTTGCTCTCATTTGTGTAATTTGGGTTATCATCAGCCAGATTTCTTCGCAAACAAATAAAATAACGAAATGTAATCGGTAAATGTCATTTGGTAGTCTATTTATAACATAACTTATAACATACTATTTAATTCATCCAAGTCGGTCTATTAGTTACGGAGCCTATTCGTTACAAACAAACAATAAAATCTTTACTTTTTTTTCTTTCGCGTAGTACCTCACAAAACCAGCTAAACAATGAGCCTTACTGGGGATCTTTCATAAAATAGCAAGGCCAGTCAACTAACGAGACTGATAGAAATTCATGGGGAAAATAAAGCGTTATAAACTAAATAAAAAGACATAATATGATTACATACCCAGGATATTAAAGGTAATATAATGTTATAAATTAAAGGTAGGCAGCTTTATGACTTACTTTATATAATCACGATTTGTGCCAACAACATATTATTTAATTTTCTCATTTTTCATTTTCAGTTATTTTGCTTTAACTTTACTTCCTTTGTTGAAAATCGAGTTGTTAAATTATTTCGTACCTTTTGTAGATGACGCGGAATAGTACTAATACGTAGAGCGGCATGTCACTTGAATCACGGCAGAGAAATTTCTCTTTTGCGCTTAAGTAACAAGAATAAAGACAAAGAAAAACGAGAAACAGACCGGTTAATCAGACAAATAAAAATAGAGTACAGCCGTAATGCGTAAATATAGAGCAAACGGACAAAAAGTATATTTTAAAGGTAGCTTTTTATTTTTTGACCTTTTTGTAACGTTTGTTTGTTGAGAAATTACCAAACTAACTAACCACTATTTTATATATCTGTGTACTTATAGTATGTTTAGTACTAGCATCTTTATGTACATTAAGTATACATATCTGTATTTCAAAATTATCGGTCAATATTCTCCATCAACGACACTGCTTTACGAGTTTTCTGTAAATCCTCATCAGTCGGTTCACTGATAGAGAATGCTTCTGATATTAAGTCCGTAAGTTCTTTTAATTTGGCAGTAAAGAATTAATAAAAATCTATATCTATGACGTAGATTTCTCATAGTAGTTTCCTTTTCAAATTAAATGTTTATTCATTAAAAATCATTTATAATTTACAGCTTATTTAGACCATAGTAGAGAAATGTGAACTTTATTTCTTTGTTTAAGATCTCACTTATAGTGATTTAACAAAAATAGCTATAAATGACACTGTTTCCTATTATCTGAGCACATTATTTATTCAATGATTTAATCAACCAAACTATAAACCTCAATGATCATAGATGAAAGATTAAGCTTTTTTTTTGTTGCTTGTTAAAATGAAAAGCTCTTATGAAAACAATAATTAGAATGAGAAATTTATACAAAAATTGGCCACGCATTTACCTCAATTTTTTCAAGGTCAAATAATTAATAATAAATAAGAAACGGCAGGAAAATCATTTGTGTACACTTCAATGTGCATCTAATCAGCATTCGGTGCACCCAGCCTTTGATGAACAGTTAGCTATTTCTGTATGAGCAAAAAGTAGGTCGCAGCATACAACATCAAATAACCCTAAATAGGTTGCAACACCACAACACATGTGTGCACACATGTGTCTGTCCAGATTTGTCAGGGAAGCTGTACTGGATATAAAATATGTAATTAAAAATATGAAAACTAGTTACACCTTTATGTGTATGGATATAGATTGGATAAAAATGAGAAGTAATAAAATTTTTGTGATAGATAAAAATTACAAAGTTACCTCTAATATTTACCCTTACTCTTTTATAAAGGGAAAAATTGAATTCTTAATTTTTTGTATGTCAATCTGTTACAGCTGATTTTCTGTGAAACTACTCAAACAATTGAGTTATAATTTAATACACATTAAAATGTGACCCAAAGTGCAATGTAAATTAATTAATTTAAACATGGTGGGAGGCTTTTCCAGGAGTATGTAAATTAGAAAATAAAAAAAGGAGTTGAGGAAACTTGTGTGACATATCAAGTGAAAAGAATCAGTGTAAGAATCTCAAAAATACATTTGCTTTTATATTATCAAAAAGAAATAGAAGTGTATGATGGACCTGTGGACCGACTTAATAAGATGAGCCTAATTGTGAACTTAAAAAAAAATTCCAAACAACCTGTAATTAAAAATCTACATTACATTCTAGATCACTAATTGGGTGAAAAGGAGTTTTTTTTCTCAATAGAATAATTTTTCATCTTTTTCTTAAGTTTTTCATAATTAAAGCAGTTTTCATAAATTTTATTGTCTAAAACATAAATGAACAGACACTTATCCGGCAGCCAGTTGCACAAACAATGTTCATTAGTTTAAAGCGACATTAGTCATATAAATTTAAAATTCATTAGAGCTTTAAGGCGTCTTTAAAACTTAATGGGTGTTTGTGTAATTTACCGTAAGATAAATTAATTAAAAATATTGAATAACATAATGCTGACCTTGAGTGATTTTTTAAATTACCAACATTTAAATTTTAATTTTAATTAAAAAAATATATTTTTCCCTAGAATTTTTGGAGATTGAGATTGAAAAATATATTGTTGAAAAATATCAATGGCATATTTGTTTCTTATATTTCCATGCACACTGCTGGATATATATAACATTTTTTTAAGTTGAACACATAAAACTTTTCACATATTTTATATCTTTCAGATTCTGATGTCTGTGTCCACCAGAGCACCAAATCAATTGTCCAGACACCTGCCTGGATTGAAACTTTTTACTAATCAAACTATACCCTTCAAAATAATCTAGTACCATGACATTGACAGATTTCTCAAGTCAGTTAAATACTATACCATCAACATTTTTAAAGCTAACTAAAGATACTAATAATGATGTGGTTTTGTGAAAGCAAAATTTATTAAAAAAAAATAATAATTTCCTTTCCAAACTTACTCGGTGTAATATTACTCAACTAAGTATTTTTTATGACATAAACTGTACATACAACCACCATTTTAATTTTTGATGATGATGACATAAAGCCAAACATTATAGCATAGGATAGAAATAGTTCCAAAATTATTACCAAGTCTTCCTAATAGTCAAGAGCCCTCTCGCAGATTTTCTTGTTGTCACATCAGCTACCACAGAGAAACGATCACTGAAACTCCTTTTAACATCCTGTGGGTTTGACAGTTCACCAGAGCTCAGTCTTAATGATTTACCAGTAACTAATGCTTCACACTTCTTTGGCCTCAATTCAAATGACTGTTCATCTGCCACTGCCAGTGACACTCTTTTGCCATTTTGTCTTTTCTTTAATAGTTTCAGATTAGGCTCTTCTTCACATTCATTAACTCTGTTTTTGTACTGATCACCATCACCGAAACCTTGGACAAAACAGAGCATAATGTCATCTGGATAGGATTCCTTCATTTAGAAGGTCATTTTCCGATTAAACTAGCATCTAAAAGGTCAATGATAATTTGTTAAACGTTCGTTGCAATCTTGATTTAGGTAACTGACAAATAGACAGCTTTCATTTTCACTGTTAATATTTTAAAGTGTAAATTAAATTCTTGACCGCACATTAATAACGGCACTTGGCAATTTCACTTCATCACAAAGTTAATTTAGAGTTATATTCTAAATAAGAAAATAAATAAACATCAAAATTTTTGCTGAGCCGCCAATACACAGAAACGTCGAATTGACATTTAAAATTTTTCGTTCGGTAATTGATAAACGTCGTTTTGCGTTCGGAAACACATGCGAAATGCGAGCACGTTGCTTGAGAACTGAATGATTGAGTTGATTTGAGCAACCGGTCTGCCCCGCGCCCGCTACCCGCTAGACGCGAAACGCGCGCGACCCGAGGTGAATTCAGAATGAATCAGTTGGTGGAACCTATAAAAAATACTATTGCAAAACAGGTGTTAGAGTACCTAAACAGATAGACATGATAAACTACAATCTTACTGACCTTGCAACGCAAATAGTGCTCGTATAATATTAACACAAACTAAATTTTACCTCCTACTTAACTTACGAGTCAAGCAAGACGCCCAAACACCCTCACGCCCATTTCAATAATAATCTTCTATAATTTAGTTGAAATTACTCAAATTATTAACAAACCCTTAGAAGCAATATAAAATCTAATTTATAAAGATAAGTTCCTACAGTAATTTATCGATTCGTTAGACAAGGTCTTGCCGCGTTAAAAGTGAGATATTTATCTGAAACAAAAGTAAGATTGTTTGAAGATATCAAGATATGTTTTATACAAAGAAATGACGTCCAAATAAGCTGTAATTAAAAGTAAGAAAATAACATCATATTCTAAGGGTTTCATCGAATGTTTTGTCCCAAACAAAACGTGAATTTAAAGGCTATTTTAACGACCGTTATCTCTTAACCACTGGGTTCTGTAGTATAGCCAAGTCAATATAGCAATTAAACTTTCTATATTCCGCGAGTCTGTATAGATAATTTTCTTTTATTGTAAAAGTACTGACTTTTGTTTATATTTTTATTATAAACAGCCAGTGACTTCAAGAATAATTCCTCTTTGGATTTCATATTGGCAACCCATACGGTTTCAAGTGATATCTTAAAGTTTCCATCATCATCAATAGTCGTACGACACCCCCTTCGTTCACATGTGCTGAATTTTAAATGGGATTACGGGAAAATAAAGGTCCAAGCTACTACCAAGTTTGTAATGTAAGATCGATAATCAACGGTATAATAATCGGGATCACCAAGGAAACCAGGAATCAAAACTTACGAACCCCTTGGTAATAAAATCGGAATAAATTCTCCTTGATTATTCCATTGGGACTTACGTAAGTACTTACGTAATGCAAACAGGCGCTTAATTATTTTTTATTCTACTTCTACGTCCATTACGTTCAATAATTCTTAGAATTGCGTTTCTGAACATCGCCGCGTCAGTTAAAATTTTTAACTTGTAGTTAAGTTCTTTAGTTCACTCAAGACAGATGATCCACTACGCAAAAAAGTCGCAAATTCCACAGAACACAGAAAGACATTAGAAGGGCCTTGTGGGCGTGGCAGTAGAGCCACGATCCTAGACAAATGTACAGGATCATGACTTCACCACGCGATCGCGATGTTTAGTCATTCACGAACGCGCGCGCTGTAAGTACTGTGAAATACGCCACTAAAAGTGTTAAAAATGCCGACTTTCGCAGTTATTAATTGCAAAACAAGAAGCCCATCCCCAAGTAGGTCCAAAGGAAGGATTTCTTTCTATTATTAAGTAGAACACTTCTCAAATTTAGCATTTTTAGTCGAAAATCGTGAAATGTTATCAAAAGTGTGAATAACAAAATATATTTCCAAGAAAATATACATTGCTGGAGAAGTGCGCATATTTATTACATTGCGTTTTACTAAGCACGTTATGTAATGAATATCGCGAAATTACCGTTTTAAATAGCAACATAATACATTACGGTAAAGGGTAGTGAAGTGCCTGGAAACAATTAATCGATTCTTGGTATGTTAGGTAGTAAAAACTAAATAAAAGTATGGACAATAAAAATAGTGGTAATAAAAAATAAATTTAATCAGAGATTAACCATATTGACTTCGTTTGGAATGCGTTTGTATATTAATTTAATAATGAGTGTGGTAATAAGTCTGTTTTTATATTCTTAATATTGTAACAGAAAACTAGTTTTTTTTATTATTTTGAACCATTAACAACAACACTTTTTAAATCATCTTAGTCTGTTCAGGATAAGTTCTAATAGCATTTATTGTACTGATAGTATTTTTTTATTTTGTATATATTTATTTACATTATATTGTTTGTCAATATTACTAGTTTCATTTAAGCGATCTTATCTGTTTACTTGATACGAAATCGAGTAACGTAACGTAAAAAAAAACCTACTATTATTATTAATAAACAAACATATTCATATGCAAATATTTAAGCTCGACTAGTACCGATTCAATGTTAGTTCATTAGTAATTTAAATATTTCTTATTGAATCAACCAACTAATTAAGAATTTATATCTAAAGAAAAAAGATAATGTCTCATATAATCAATACAATTCAATGTATATCCAATATAATATAAAGAAATCATTAATCTAGTATCCTTTCAATTAATCGACTTGTTGTTTTTCAATATCGATAGTGAATAACTTTATGTCAATCACTAGTGTGATATGTCAAATTAAAATGGCTTTTACACGTTTATTACGCACTATAGATGTCTGTTATGGTTGAGCGTGATTGGTTATAGTTATATTGGAGCGTTCTGATTGGCATGTTTAAAATACAAGTGTGTCTCAATCTTTTGTATAATTGGTCTGATTATTCGTCTGATGTACGGCGGACTAAAAGTGGGGCAAGACTGGCTACATCGGTTTTCGTACAAAGGGTGCATGATCGCCTTTCTAACCTCTTTTTCGTGTTCTGTGGCAAATTCTGTACTAAGATTTGTTATTGGTGAGGTTTTGGACGAAGTTACGAGATGAAATAACAAAACAAATAGGTATTTTATTTGTTTATAAATAAATACACCGTACTAAACATAAATTAATTATTAAAACAGATGCCATAACAAATATCGAAATTAGATTAGCAGTTTTGTTTTTCAAATAACTATAAAATAAAGAATATCTAAACTTCTTGGGTACGATCTTATATTATTATCGAAGAAAACAAAAGATATTGATTTTGCTTTCCTATAACTTTTGTAATGTAACTCGATGATGTAAAAAGTGTAAAATAGATAATAATTATTACTACTATGTATTTACTATTCACATTATGTGACATAGTTGATATTAACTATATTTATATTACCTACTTACCTACCAGCAAAACAAAGCATATAATTTTTCGCAGTGGAATCAGTAAATTTTGTCGACATCACTATACGCCAGTCTAATATAAAATAAAGCTATCATATTTCAGAAACTTTATATGTTATTGTATTCATACCTAGTATATTAACTAGGTATACCTTCCTTCTTCCTATCCCTCATTAAACATAGTATAATGTTTCAGGTTACATATGTTCGCTTTATTGCAATTAAACAGGAACTTCATTTATCAAGTGAAAAGTTAGCCGTCCTGTTTTACAAACCATTCTTTCATATTCCAACAAAGTTTTTAAATACCTACGTTTTTACAATGTTTAATACCTACGTACATTTTTTTTTACAAAACTTGCGTTGACAATTAGCGACTATCTGACCTGCAGGCGTATTCGCTAACTCAGCTGACAATCTAAGTCGTAATCAACGAAAAAAGTGAACTATTCCAATGGGTCAAAATGTCTAATTCGTAATTTTGTAAATTTCTATAACAGTTCGCAATTTTGAAACAATATCGGCGATCTCCACTGAACTCATTCATAAACTGTTCTTTCGTATTCCGTAAGAAGTGACACTGAAATTAATTAGTGGCCATAAAAGTCAACTTCAATGTTAGAATTTAAATATTTTTAATTTTATTTTTAAATGACTAAGGATTGCTGTTTTATTAAAAATGAGTTACAGAATACCCAAACAGCGCGATAACGGTTTGCCCACTGTGTGTGTGTGTGTGTGTGTGTGAACAATTTATTTCGGATGACCTTAGAAGTTGCTTGAGTTACAGAATAAGGGGAAGTGCCCATTCACTCTGGCTTTGAAGAGTTCCAGGTTATAGCGATTGGAGAATACATGATCAGGCAGTTATTCTATTCTTTAACAGTTGGAAAAAGAAATGATGAATCGCTTAGTATGTACGGCCGGTAAGCCAACATGTGTCTAGTCATGATAAAAGAAAGTTGCAAGAACAGGTATTATGACAATGACCTTATTTCACATTTCAGACATCTCAGTTAACAGTCGAAAGAAAAGTCCACCTTTACGATAATAAGTCTCACAAAAACGTTTGTCAAAACTGGTAGACCAATTTCTTAGCCGCCATACGTATACATAGGTATGTTCTTTAGAACATAAATGCCTCGAAGTAATTTTTGTTTTAAGGCACCTTGTTAAAAATGTAGCAATTTGTTTTCATCAAAGTCCAGAATATTTGCAGACGCAGTAATCCATATCATAAATAAATTATACCTACCCGAGATTTTTAAATTTAAATTATCCAATAAATAAACGGTTAAAAGAAAATATCTGGTAAACATAATCTTCAGGCGTTATTGATCATCATTAATTAGAGAAAACGTTTTCCCGTTAAGCAGCATACATCAAAAGAGTTCGGCATATTCTTCTTGGAAATCTAACGCAAGACGCATGAACAAGCGTCTGTTTGCCTTCTTTGAAAACGATAAGAATAAAAATGATTAGTTCTCTTAAGTAGTAATAAACAAAAAAAAAGTGAGAGTGGAACTAAGGGTTTTTAAAAGGTAGGTACTTCTTAAATATTGATTTCTTATATTTTCACGCACATGATCCATATCTGAAACAACTTTTAAACAGTTTCTTCGCGTTTGTATTTAGTTTTATTGACGTTTCGGATTCTTTGCAGGTTCCGTGTTTACATAAGACTATGGTGTCAGTTTTCTTTTTATCAGAATTTCGATGTTTTTGGTAAAATCAATTAATTTAAATTGATATTAATATTATCAAATATTAAATAATGCATTGGTCTTGCGTGAGGCCGTGAGTTAACATTGATGATTGATTTTGTTAACATCGATGTTAAGACATTGATTTTTTTGCTTTCAAAATCGTTGATTATCAAAAATTCAAAAATCGATCATCCTTATTTTAAAAT